GTTGGGGGTGGGAGAAATGGGTGAACTTTTTTTTTTTTCCAGTTTAAATAAGTTACATTAAAAAAAAATTAAATACTGATTAATCTTTTTTTTGGTCCTTTTTTTGGTTAATCCTCACCTGAGGATATTTTTTCCATTGATTTCTTTTTTTAGAGAGAGTGGAAGGGTGGGACGGAGGGGGGGAGGAGGAGGAGGAGGAGGAGGAGGAGGAGAGAAACATCGATTGGTTGCCTCCCACACACTCCCAGCCCGGGCTGGGGATCAAATCTGCAACCTGCCCTTGACTGGGAATCCAACGTGAGACCCTTCGGTGCATGGGCTAGCGCTCTAACCACTGGGCCACTCCAGCCAGGGCACAAATGCAGATTAATGTTAGTATAACTATATAACTATATATATATATATATGTTAAAGACTGCTAGTGAATAGGGTTAAAAGTTTGGTCTACCACTACCAAATAAGAAATGTGATGTTGCAGTATAAATTAATTTATTGTAATAGTGTCAACAATTAATAAAATAAATACCTAGATTAAAAATTTAAAAAGAAGAAATGTATTGCTATTCTTTATCAGATTTAATTGGGGGGAAAAGATGCTATAATGTAGTTTGATCAGATTCAGTGCTCATTCCTAATCAAATTACAATATGAAATAAAAGAATACTTTCATAGTATGATAGAATATTCTTATTAACCAATACCAAATTTAGAAGAAAAATGCCTTGTAAAACTGGTTATCATTAGTATTTAATTCACCTTTAATTCAACATTACTATTTAGTATGTGGTCTGTGGATTGGTGCCAGTCCATGAATTTCTTATTATTGGTTTCTCCAGAGATTAGTATAAGAATTGAGATGAAGTGTTTAGAAACTTTTATAGCATTTCGACAGAGTGATTTTATGTTTTTTAGAACTAGAAATTTTGTATTTTGGGCTTATATATCATTTAAATTTCATTTTTCTAGTTATTTTTATTCGTTTTTATTAGTTTATGTATTATTTTTATTTACTTAGTACTTATTAATTTTTATTAGTATTTTAATAAGATATCTTGCTATGATGAATTAGGAGTAGGAAAAACTGATCTTTCCCGTAGATATTTTTAGAAGCATTGCTGAATCATGATTTGAAAGAGACAAATGTATCATTATTCATGGATGATATGATAAAGTTATCGACAGGAGCAAAGAGTCCACTAGATACTGGTATAGTTAATAAGAATTCAGTAAAGTGGTCACATGTAGAGAACATTGAAGTTTTAGGTTTGGAATTCTTTTTTCAGTTTTATTATAATTAAATTGTAAGATTTCATCATGTAGAACCAAACTTGTTGGTTTTTAAAGTATGTTTTTTTATTGATTTTAGAGAGAGGAAGGGAGAGGGAGAGAGAGATAGAAACATCAATGATGAGAGAGAGTCATTGATTGGCTGCCTCCTATATGTCCCCTGACTGGGAATTAAGCCTGGAACCCGGGCATGTGCCCTGACCAGGAATTGAACAGTGATCTCATGGATCATAGGTCAGTGATCAACCACTGAGCCATGCCAGCTGGGCCCAGATTTATTGTTTTAATGATGAGAACTAACTGTTCAAGAATCACTGGCAGATTCAAATTGTTAAGAGATGGATATAAGGGGAAGGTCTAAAATATAGTTGATATTGGAAAAAACAGAAAGCTTTACTTTTTATAAACTTTGATGAGATTTTATCAAATAGGAAGTGGATATTTTAATCTGAATGTTAATATGTATGTTAATTCAGTTAATAACTTAGTATGTTTTCCTTCAAAATTATTATTTTAGAGAACAGAATCTTGGCATTTTCTTCCTCAAGAAATCGACTCTTCCCACACCTCGGATACAACCCAGACCAGGTTTAATGTGAGAGAGGAAGGGACAGAAGTTACAGACTTCCCCTCTGTGGAGGAAGGTATATTGACCCAATCAGAAAATCAAGTAAAGGAACACAACAGAGATCTCTTTTGTTCTCCATTGATAGGTAATACCTCTTTTTTTACCCCCTTTAAACTAGTATTAATACCTAACATTTATAAAATACTTTTGGGGGAGTGCAAGTCCTGCATTTAAATCCTTTCTTGAGTTGAGGAGCTCTGTAAAGATGTACTCAAAGATATTAGTTTATTCCTGGTTTTCTGCACAGACTAGCTTGTGTAGTTATGCTAATGTGAGTTGCTCCTCATTTTATCATACTCTTTGCTCACGGAAGGCAGAAAGTTGGTAACTTCCTCTCTACTAGGTGCACCTCCTCAGTCCTGAATTTGTGATAGTTTTTCTTGGGGTAAGCCATATATTATCCTTTGACTACTCGACAATGTTGACTCCATAATCCTTAAAATAGAAACAAAAAACAAATGTTCATGCTTACCTCATTAGATTCTTAAAATTGGTTACCACATATGTTGTTATTCTCAGTTTTCAGAAACAAAAATTTAGATAAAGAAGTTAAATGATTTGTTTAAGGTAGCTCTTACTGCTTTGCTGCATATGGAACTGATTTATTAGCTCTTTACAAAAGGTATGCTTTAAGTACCTCTCAAATCATCAAAGTAGGAGGTAGAATAAATTGTACTGTTACTACTTTGGATCATTGCAGATATATAAGAATGCTAAACAAATATGGTAATTTAAATTTTCCCATGCCTAAATCATAATTCAGACAAATATTACTTCATTCTTCCTTTCTTCAGATTTTGTTTTCAGAAATTGAAAAAAAATACAACCACCACATTTTAGAATTAGCTTTTGTCAGAGAAATGGGTTCAACCAGGAAGTTGTCAGAGTTTTTTAGAGGAGCTTGAATAGGAGTTAGTTTAAGTTCTTTTTAAGCATAAACTAATGCTATCCAAATAAAAATACTAGTGCCAATGAATTCTGTAATGTGGATCGTCAAAGTCAACTTCAATTTTGGTTTTATTAATTTTTAAATTTATTTAAAATTTATTAATTTTAAGAAAGATGTTGACAACATAAGTGCTCCTTTATGGGAGGAGATGACTATGATAGTGGATGAAAGAGAAGGCTTTTCTATGATCAGGTATTTGAAGGGCTGTCATGCTAAAGTGGAAGCAACATTTTCATTCATTTATTTAACAAATAGCTAAGTGTCTATTGTGTGTTTGATGCTAGGAATATATAGATAAAAGCTATCTCTTTGGGAAGACAATCCAGTAAACAGAAAATAACAGTATCGTGTATGATGAGTACTTTAATGGTCTACAGCAAGAGTGTGCAAACTACAGGCCACAGGCCAAGGCCTGATTTTTTACGAGCTAAGTGGTTTTTGCATTTTCAAAATGATTGTAAAAACAACAAAAAAAGTATATGCAACAGAAACTATATATGAGCAACAAAGCCTAAAATATTTACTTCCTGGCCTTTTATAAAAGTATTTGCTAACTCCTAGTCTAGAGGTTAAAATGAGAATACATAAGGCTGTTGTAAACTTGATATAAGAAAGAACTTTCTACTAGAGCCATTCAATAATGGAAAGGCTATATAACAACGAAAAAAAGGAGCTTAGCCCTGGCCTGTGTGGCTCAGTTGGTTGGACGTTGTCCCCTGCACTGAAAGGTTGCTCGTTCAATTTCTGGTCAGGGCACATGCCTGGGTTTCTGGCTCGATGCCCAGGTGTGGTCTCAGTCTTCAGTAAGGGGTGTTCAGTAAGGGGGGTTCAGGAGGTAACTGATTAATGTTTCGCTCTCACTTGGATGTTTCTCTCTGTCCCCCTCTCCTTCTCCCTCCCTCTCTCTCTTTTCCTCTCTAAGAAAAGATTAATAAATTTTTTTTTTTTTTTAAATGAGCTTATGTCACAGCAAAATGTCAAGCAAAATTCTCTAATGAAATAATTTCAGCTTTTGGTAGGAAACTGTGTGTCTGGCTTCTAAAATTTTTGCTAACATAAAGTTTTATAACTCTAGCTTCTCATTTACTATAGAAAAAGTAGAACATATTTAATTATTAGAGCAGATCCCTGGATCTGATGGCAGAGGAAATTTTATCGTTGCTATTTTGTTATGCATGAATACTATAGTCATTGTGGGGTATGTTAGTCTCGCTAATGGCAAATGTCATAATGAAAACCGGTGCTGTAACAGTTAGATATGTCAAAAAAGAGTGATCCAAGCTATCAACAGTGTCCAAATGTAAGGAAATGTGGAGTCTTCGTTAAAAAACCTTAGGATTCTTAGAGGTGTCTCGGACTTATGAAACTTATAAAATTAAGGTTATGAAGGTTTAAGACTGAGTCTCTAAGCAAAGGCCAAAGAGGAATCATACTAGTTAGTCCTCAGTGGTAAAGACTTCTCATTTTTAATTAATTAATTCAGTAAGTAAATAATAAGTAATTCTATTTTGAATGCCTGCTAAGCGTAGCAGGTATTTTGCTAGGCATTGAAGATCCAGCTATGAATAAAGCAAACATGGAGTTTTCAATCTAGGTGGGAAGCAGACCAAAGATTAAAACAAGAGTGTGATGGTTATGATAGGGAAGGTGTGCAGCATTACAGGCATTCTGAAATCAAGAAAGTAAACTGTAGCAAGAGTTATGCATATTGGAAGAACCATTTAGTTTTAGCAAAATATCACCCATCCAGTCGAATTAATGTTAAATAGGATGCTGTTAGTTGTATAGATTTGTTTCAGTTAATCTTTACTTTTTTGTTTTGTACTATAAATATTATAAGGAATAAGGACTTTATACTTTGTATATAATCAAGGGCATTCTAATAAGAATTATTTAGGTTTGCATTTAGGAATTCACAATAATTTTTTCCTTTTAAATCAGTAGTTCTCAAACTTTTTGGTCACAGGACTACTTTACACACTTTAAAGTTACTAAGGACTCTAAAGACCTTTTGTTTAATGTGGGTTATTGGTATTTTTCCCATATTAAAAATTAAAACTCACCAATTTAAAACGATTAACTCATTAAAAATAACTTGATTGCATTTAACATAAATTACAAAGTTTTTTAAGAAAAATAGCTATATTCCAAAACAAAATTATTTAGAAGAGTATCATTGTTTTACTTTAAAAAAAAAAAAAAATCTCTGTAATGGCTGACTTAATAGAAAACAGGTAGTTTCTGATATTTGCTTCTACATTCAGTATCATACATGTTGCGTCTGGAAAATTCCACTTCTGAGAGAATGAGAGTGAATAAGGCAAATGATATCTTTTTTTTTTTTTAATCCTTACCTGAGGATATTTTTTTCTATTGCTTTTCAGAGAGAGTGGAAGGGGGTGGAGAGAGAGAGAGGGAGGGAGAGAGAAATATCGATGTTGGAATGACCAGGGCTGGGGATTGAGCATGCAACCGAGGTATGTGCCCTGGCTGGAATCAAACCCAGGACCCCTAGTCTGTGGGCCAACGCTCTAACCACTGAGCCAAAATGACCAGGGTGGCAAATAATATCTTAATATTTTTATTATTATTTTTAATCCTCTCCCGAGGATATGATTGATTTATTAATTTTTTGTGAGAGAGAGGAAGGGAGAGGGAGAAACACTGATGTAAGAGAGAAACATCGATCATTTGCCTCCTGTATGTACCCCACCAGGGATCAAACCCGCAACGTAGGTATGTGCCCTGGTCAGGAATCAAACTCGCAACCTTTTGGTGCATGAAACGACGCTCCAACCAACTGGGGCCTTAATATTATTTTGAATATAATTTTGACCCTAGTCACTTTCTGAGAACATCTTAGGGATGCCCAGGAACCCATGGACAACACTTTGATGGAAAGAAACACTCATAACAGTAAGAGCACTTGCTAAAAAGTTAGTGTTTAGGTTCAGATCTCACTCTGGCACTTAGGCTATTTGATTGTGGACAAATTACTTAATATTTCTTAAGTTTTGTAATCATGTTTCCTCACCTGTAAGATGGGTATAATACTACCCATCCTTCAAGGTTGTCATGAGGATTAAGTGAAATATTGTATGTGTAGTGTCTCGACCTTCTCAGGTAGTTGCTGCTGCTATTATATCATCATACTAAAGTTTATAGAAACTTCCAGATGGCGGCATGTTTAGGTTCTTTAAAGTATTATATGAGTGAACCAAACAGTTAATTTTTAGTATTTTCAACATTTTCATATTTGAAACTTTGCAGTCATACAAGACAACTTTGCTTCTCCGGATTTGCCTTTGCTGACATGTTTGACACAAGACCAAGAGTTTGGGCCTGATTCTATATTTCACCAAAGTGAACTAGATTTTACACCTCTAAGGTAAGATGATTTATTTTTTTATTTTCATGTAACTTTTCTACTCTTGCTCTTCTTGTTCTTAGTTGTTACTAATATTAATTACGTTAGCTCAAGTTGAGACTTTAGGGTAGGGGTTAGATAGTTTCAGCTCACACTCTGAAGGTGGCAAGTCCCTAAGTTAAGACATGATGCATATCAGTTTGACATAGTAACATATGTATGTGTAAAAATGAGCCAGGTTACTGTAGTGTATTTAAAAATAATTTCTAATATGTTCTAGCATTTCAGGCATATTTTAATTTAGAAGGCACACGATTTTTCATTTTATAAATCTCCCCTTTTGCTTCCATCACCCAACCTCATTTTGTAAAAAGCATTTGTTTCATGGTCACTAACTTGTTCGGCACTCTCATTTTGGTCAGCTGATATATTGAATGAGCCTCGTTATCTTTCCTTACGTTATATGTGTGAATGTGAAATAACAAGATTTTTCTAACAGACATGTCCAAATTAACAATTGTTCCAAATTTAATACCCTTTAGAATGGTCATAGTGGAAGACAAGTCTGTAATTCTCCAAAACATTTGAAATTATCCAAGAATATAAGTTTTTCTTTTGTAGAACTTAAAAAAAAAAAAGACAAATTAAAAACTAGATGTTTAATGAGTAGAAACCTCTGCCCTTCTGCTGTGTATTACTTTAAAATTACTTTTATGAAAAGTATTTTGTACACAATAGTCAACCAGTGATTAGATTACTGTTGTATTTTGTGTGTGTGGGGAGTAGATCACTTCTTAAGTGGTTTTCAAAAGCATAATAAATGACGAGTAAAATAACTAATGCAGGTTAAGTGAATTTTAAATTATGGTAGGTGGGAATAAGTTAAACATTTTAAATAGTAAAGTTTGATTTTTTATTTAAAGGATCTTTTTTTTTTTTTTGACAATATGAAATTACTCATATATTTGGTAATGCTGTTTTGGAGGAGCCTGAGAAAATATCAGGGTCACAGGATGGTAGTATACTTTCTGTTTATAAAACATCTGCCTGTTCAGTCATTAGCCACCTTAAAAGAATTTGAAATTAGAACTTTGCTTTTCAACACATTTTTCAAATAACCTTGATATCAGTGACGTATCAGTTTTGTATTTTTTTATGTTGGTATTTAAAAAAATAAATGTTTTAAATGTGTAACCTTTTTATTTTTAACTGTATATTTTCAGGGGGATTCCTGGTAAGTCCGAAGACACTGAAGGATTTTCTCGACTGGCGGAAGTTAGTGAAGCTTTGTTCCAGGCATCCTCAGAAGTAGCTTCAGACTTAGTTAATAGTCGCTTTAGTGTATCTCAGTACACACTTACAGGGAGTACAGCTGTTAAGTCTCAGGGCTCTTTTTTACATCCTGAACAAGGAACCAAAGAAGAGATTGTTTCATCTGATACAGTTGATGAACTGAAAACCCCCAAAGACTCTGATAGTTATGGTGCTCTTTGTTCATATATGTCATGGAAGATACAAGAAGTTACACAGGAGCCAGAAACCAATTTAGCTGATAAAAATCAATTTTCTTTTTCAACTTCATCTGATACAAGTGATGAATATGTAACTCCTAAAAAAAGTGACAGTTTTTTGTTTTTTTGTTTTTTAAATTTTATTATTGTTTAAAACATTACAGATGAGAAAGTGACAGTTTTGATGCTTCTTGTTCATATGTGCAGTATTGGAAACAGGAAGCTTTACAACAGTCAAAAAAATATTTAACCAGTAAGGACCAAGATTCTTGCTCAAATTCATCTGATACCATTGATAAAAATAAAATTCCTGAGGGAAGTGATAATTTCAGTGCCCCTTTTTCATTTATGCCATGGAGCAAACAGGGAGCTTCACACCATCCAGAAACATGTCTGATCAGTAGTTGCTCCTCATTTGAATAGTAAAATGTCATATTTTTTCTTGCGTTGCTTGTTGGAAAGGATAGGGAAAAGATTCCCTTGATGTCTGATAGTCATTATTTTGAGAGTGTTTATTTAAGGGCTCCAGCTGAGAATGAGGTGAAACAAAACATAGTTTCTTTGGAGTGTTCTGAAGGAAATGAAGAAGATTTGGGGAAAGAATTGTCTCAATGTTTTGAACTAAAGGAGAATAGCAGTACTTTAGTATTTTCAGAGATGTGTCCCAGATCTTCAGAAATAGAGTATATTGAGAATGTTATAGTTCCTGATAATTCTGTAAAAGTTTCAGAAACACATATACTCTCTAGGGGACATGATATCTCTAAGGTAGCGACTTCTGGTGGTCGTCTTCAGACTATTTCATCCAGCTTGGATGAGACATCAGAACAACTTTATTTTCAAGAGGAAAGAAACCAAAAGGCAAGTGCTGCTTTTGGAGGGAAAATGTTTTTTTTTTTTCTTTAAATATATCTTTATTGATTTCAGAGAGGGGAAGGGAGAGGGAGAGAGAGAGATAGAAACATCAATGATGAGAGAGTCATTGATTGGCTGCAGCCCGCAACCCGAGCATGTGCCCTGACTGGGAATCGAACCCTGATCGCCTGGATCCTAGGTTGACGCTTTTACCACTGAGCCACGCCCGGCCAGGCTGGAGGGAAAATGTTGATGCTACTGCAAATGTAGCCTTTAAGGCAGTTATTGCCTCTATTGAGCCTTCCAAGAAAGAGAGTACAGTAAATGAAATCCAGACTGACATCTGTAAATGTGTAACAAATGACAGCCAAGAAAGTGAACCAAGAAATTCAGATCTTATTAAATTACAATGATGAAAATTCTTTCTTCGATGAACTTAGTCATCCACGCTATCACTCTACTCCTGAGGTATTTGAACCAGCAGCTTCAAAACGATTGTTGCATAAAAAAGATGATGATGTTAGCTCCCTGTACTGGCTTCCTAATGTAAAATCACTCCCCAGTGCTTCTCAGGAAATAGTCTTTAAGCCATTTTCTTTTATTCCAGAGTTTAAATCATCTGCTTCTTTAAGTGAAAAATCTCACAGCCAGGTTATTGGTCTTTGCAAAACACAGTAAGCTTTATTTCAGTGTGATGTAGATAATGAACCATTTCTTCCTATTTTGAAGATAAAGTCTGTTTCTGCTCTTGACCTTGCAGAAAAGGCAGGATCTTCAAGCGTTATTTACCCACTGGAAGGATCAACTTCAGATTCTTTGTTTTTGCAAGATTTAAAGCAGCAAACCTTTGAAGAAGTTGCAGATTCCTCAAACTATATTTTGGGTAAGAATGTAAATTCTGGTCATGTCATTGATGGTCCATTCACAGCTGTAGGAAGCAGCTTTTCAGCAAACTTGGTGGCTTATGATGCAAAGTCACAAGGTGCTTTACCAATGATCAGTGATGCATCATTAATTACAGTTGCCCAGGAGACATTGCTGAAAGCTCATATAGGCCTAGGTGAAATTCCGGGGCTTAAGAGAGCCAAGTCCAGTTTTATGATATATACAATTATGCAAAATGACTCCTATTTTGTAGAGGGCCTGCAGGGGACGGCGGAATCTGACATCTATAGTCTGGGTGATGATACTGAATGCTGTAGCCTAGATGAAAATGCCATTGTATGCAGTAAAAGAACTACTGAACTACAAGAGGTGAGACATAATAAAATGATAGTTGGGGAAAATATGGTCTTTTCCAGTATTGTTTCAGGAAATGGCATTGTTATTTTACTTTTTACTATTTCCTAGATATGTGACCAAGGTAACTTGACTGGGGAGTACATTGAGCTAGCAGATTTAGAAAATTTGCTTGATGATCTAGAGATCTGTGACTTCTCTCTGCCCTGGCAGTCTGCTTTTCACCTACCATCCAAGGAAAGGCCTGTAAGTTTTTCCATTTGTCATTTCCTGTGGGGCAGGGAAAGAAATATTTTAGTTGAAAAATGGGGATAAAAGTGCCTGTTTATGTCCTCTAATACCAACTTGTGACTTATAATCTGATCTTCATCTGATATGCAGGAATATCATTAATTTGTTAGCGAGTGGCCTAAAAGAAATGTTTGTATTTTGTAGACCATAAGATTTAGTTCTATGGTGTCTTGGAAAAAGCCATCCTTTGGTGCTTCCAGGCCTTTCATCCTAGGCATCTTAATTCATCTAAGTTTTGCTAGCAAGAACCTTTGGGACAGTGTTAAAAAGACTGGACTCACTCATGGAGACACTGATTTGTGCTTTTTCTCTCTCTGGTCTTCAATGTACAAGCCTTGGAATAGGCCCTGGAAATATTCAAGTATTTTTATTTATTTTTAATTTTTAAAAATTAATTTATGATTTTAGAGAGAGTAAGGGAGGGAGAGAGAGATCAATTTGTTGTTCCACTTATTTATGTATTCATTGGTTGATTCTTGTATGTGCCCTGATGGGGGATTGAACCCGCAACCTTGGCATATCAGGATAACGCTCTAACCAACTGTGCTACCTGACAGTGCTCAAATATTTATTTTTAGATGCTCCTGAAAGATTTGACTTTAGAGGTATCTTGAAAATGATAAGAATCTGTGTTTCCCCAGGAAGGATACTGAGGTACTTAATGTCCAAACTAGTCAGTGTTCCCAAAGGAAACTACCTGTCTCCTTCCCACATGAGCAACATGCTTATGTATTATTACATTCCCTTTTTCTCTATTTATATCATTATTATTGTGTGTGTGTACTAGAAAATTATAACTTTGGGGTGTTATAAAAATTGTTTCAATGTTTCTTTTATACAAGGCTTATTTTCCTGGATTTTTGGATTCCTTGGCTTTAATCTTCCTCTGGTCCTATTGCCCACCTTCTTTTGTCTGAAACTGTCAACTCTAACCTGGGTCCTACTTCCTTATAATATACTCTTATATCCTGCTAGTCATTAGATTCACTTAGATAATATATGTGGTATACTTAATGTTACTTTCCTTTTACTGTTTTTCCAAATATAAGATTGTAGTTATTGGAAAACTATTAGTTTGAGTTGCAACCATATTTATACCCTTAGGTTCAGATAGTTGATAAGAGGAAATGAACAAAGATATTGTGATGTACTTTTTATTTATAATTTGTTGAATTTAAAAAGGATTTTAATATAGAGAACTGCTAGGCTAGTTTTATTTTCTTTATTCTAAAGTAGGCATTGTTTAATTCTAATTTTCAGTCTAATAACAGTGGGTATGAAAGTGATAACTTTGTAATCTGATAAAACTTTAGGAACTTCTGTTTCAGCATTTAACCTTTACTTCACTATCAGTTTTTATTTCCCACTACTTTTGTTTCAAGAACTTTGAGGACTTTTGTTTTTTGGTAACTGATCACAGATACAGGTTTTTGATGCTTTTATTATTCTAAACATTTGTGGATTTCTTGGAAATCTTCCTGTTTTCTCTTCCCTCCTTTTTCCTGTCCACAACACACTTCTTCCTCTTAAAAAAATCCTTGTACCATAGTTCAAATTCTGCAGTGATCATGCTATTATAAGGAGAAAACTGAGTAATATAATAGTTCTAGGCCTCATATCTATAATATTCTATACAGGCAGACTTACAGACCCTCAGAATAATTTGTAGAGCCTTCTTGGAATTGACCAAACAAGAAATGACCTGTATATGAATTCAGGAGGATTGAGAATATAATCTTAAAGAACTGGTATAACTGCCTAGTATTTATTTTCATAAAAGTGAGGTTTGTATTTCAGCAGTTGATGTCAAAAATTAATCCTATTTTCTTTCTTTTGTATCTCTTTTCATAGGTAGGTCATTCTAATCAGTCTTTTTCGTCTGTATTACCTCCATTTGTTCCTCATGAGCCAACCAGAGAGTTGGAGTTTCACTCTTCAGACCTCAGAATGTTGAGAGTATCTCCTGAGATTGTGCCAAAGGCTCTCAAACATTTATCAGGTATGTAGAAAAGGTGATATTAAATGTCCGTATGGCTAGCTTGTTAAAAATATTTAGCTGTGGCTAATTTTTTATATTTGAATTCCTGCAGTCATGTTGACTTTGGATTAAGTGTATTTATAAATGCACAGGTCTCATTAGATGAACCATTTGATTTAATTGCATTCTTCAGTGTTTAGAACTGAATTTCATGGACAAGTCTTAGTTAGAGTCAGTTTGTTTCTATATTCCTTTCTGTGACTTGAAGGAAAAAAATTAATGGAGCTCAAGAGGACAAGAGTGGATACAAATAAGCTTGTAGAGAGGGAATTGAAAGCTCAGTTTTGAGGCGGAAAGCAAGGTTATCTATTTGCTGTAGGAGGTGGGGGCAGGTGGGGGTTTTAGGAGATAAGAGGAGAGTGGCTTGGGTGAAGGCTCAGAATTTATGTTGAAGTGAATAGGAGATGGAGCTAAGGACAAGCAAAAGGATTGGCAGGTAGTTCTGAGAAGTCAGGTGAGGTTAGAAATGATTTTATAATGTTGTCAGCCTGTGTTGCCTCTCTGATTTCTCTCTACTAAAACTCAGTAATGGAGAAGATTAATTACAGGATTGATTCTTAGTTTAGGGATTTGGGTGTGGTGGAAGGATAACAGGGCAATGGAATATGTGAGAGAAGAGTTGGTTAGCTGTTGGTTTCAGCCTGCATAGGGAAAGAAAAGAAGTCAGGAGAGTTGTTAGTCTGGGAGAAAATGAAGGGACAGAGGTTTATTTATGAAGTTGAATTCATGAGGTAGGTATGAGTTATTGAGAGAGCTAGAAGAATGAGTAATTTTGGTCAGAGTTAGTTAGTACATTTAAATGTGCATCAGTTTGAAGGGGGTAAGATCCACTGCTTGGCCCTGCGGTGGTTGAATAGTAGAAGTTGAATAAAGATCACTGGGATAAAGTAAATTGAGATTTTGAAGCTAGCTTTTTGGATTGATTAACTATTTTTAAATATTTTCTGATTTTTTTGTGGGATTTGGGGCTTAGGGAAGCCTTTGTACCTTGAAGTCTCCAGAAAGTGAATGGAAGCAACTGGAGTTGTAAGAACATGATAGATGGAGGATGGTATTGAAGCTATGTGTGGCCTAAACCTCGAGAAAGGAGGTTTTATTTGTATGTCTTTTGTTTATTTGAAGAACATAGAAAATATGGTAAGGAAATCATTGTGAGAGGTAGTTAAATGCTATCTTCTATCTCTCCTTGTTTTCAGAGTCATGGTATATGGGAGAGGGCTGCATAGTCAATAATATTATTAAGAGGAAAATCAAGTGTTTTTTAGGGCAAAAAGTTAGAGAGTATTCTCTGAAAAATTTGAGAAAGGTTGTTTATTAAATAGCAGAATGGTTTCAAAGAGCACAGAGGAAAGAAGGGAGGGAAGGAATAAGTAGTGGGAGGAACCAAGGTAAGAAAACAGCAGGAATAGAATATGGGGACAGGAGACTGGTAATATTTGCATTTTGTCTGGACCAGAATTTCAGTGATAAGCTTACTTGAAATGAGTGGCCTCAAATATACTAATTTTATCAAGTAATTTTAATGTCGGAACTATCTAAGGGTCCCAGCTCATACCTGGTTTAGTCATAGAGATGAATTTAGAACTGCCATAGGGTTTGAGAAGGGCATCATATCTAAAAATGTTGTTTTGTGACTTTTACAAATTATAGCACACCTTGGTAAAGAATTCTCAGGTTGTTGTTCATCCCCCTCTCCTTACATCCTTTGAAATTGTCCCCAAATTCTTGGGTATTCTGTTCTTTTTTTTTTTCTTTTTTTTGTCTCTCTTCACATTTTAGTTTGGGCAGTTTCTAATGACCTACCTTAAAGCTCACTGATTTGTTCCTCAACACAGCATGTGCAGCCTACTGATGAACCCATCAATGAAGGCACCCTTCATTTCTGTTATAATGTTTTGGTTTCTATACTTTCCTTTTGATCTTCCTTAGAATTTTTATCTCTCTGCTTATATTACTCATCTGTTCTTGCATGTTGTCCATTTTTTCCATTAGAGTGCTCAACATATTTAATCATAGTTACTTGAAATACCTGGTCTGATATTCCAAAATCTCTGCCATTTCTGAGTCAGGTCCTATTTCTTGCTTTGTCTTTTCAGACTGTTTTTTGCCTTCTAACACACCTTGTAATTTTTTGTTGAACACTGGACATGATGTACTAAGTAAAAATACTGAGGTAAATAAATATGCCTTTGGTGTGAGGTTTTATTTGGCTAGAAGTTAGGCTCTATTACAGTTAGCTATAACTGTGGTGTCGGATGCTAAAATTGTCTCTGGTGCCCTTGTTTTTTCTCCTATGTTGTCTTTTGGTTTCCCTTAAGATTCCTTAAACGGGGTCATAGGCTTGTTTGCATTCTTTCCTCTGTAATTTATACAAGAGCCCTATTTATGTAGTGGTAATATGTGGAGGGAAGAGATTTCATTATAATAACCCTATGATTAGGTCTCGGTCTTTTAGTGAGCCTCTTTCCTTAGGCCAGGGGTGGGGAACCTTATTTCTGCCAAGGGCAATTTGGGTATTTATAACATCTTTCGCAGGCCATACAAAATTATCAACTTAAAAATTAGCCGGCTATATTTGGTCAAACTTTTAACTTAATTTATTGAATTTAGAATCCTGCCAGTGGTTACCTTGGCAGGGCCAGACCAAATGATTTCTTGGGCCTTATATGGCCTGCAGCGGGACTTTCCCCACCCCTGCCTTAGGCTGTTACTGTTGCAAGTGCTTCTCAGCATTTTCCCCCTCCTTAGGTGAAACAGAAAGGCTAGAAGGGGCCTGGAGTTGGGTATTTCCCTTGTTACAGGTTGGTTAGGCTCTGATAAAATCAAGTCAGGCTCTGGTAATTTAGTTTCCCTTGAGGTCAGCCTATTGTTATGGAGACCAGAGGGCTTTGGGGCTTTAAAAATCGTCACTTTTTCCCTCCCCCTGCCATAAATATGAGGGCAAATTTTGTTCCATCATCATCCTGAGAGCCTGGTGGTCTCCTAGAAGTAAAATTTAGGGGCCTTCCCTAAGGCTGGGCCCCAGGAGTTTTTAATCTCCAAAGTGAGTCCATGTTTGTTTGGCTTTTAGCAGTTTGCCAATTACAGTTTATTTTTTCTTACCAGTTCCTGGTTCCAGAGGCTTCTGCTCCCCATAATCTCTGATTCTCTGTGTTCACCTGAATCTACAGTTTTCAGGATGGTGGTTTACCTTGTAAACTCATTTCTCTGATGGGTTGAAGAAGAGTTGTTGATTTTCAGTTTGTTCAGCTCTTTTTGTGTGAGATGGTAGTGACTTCTAAACTCTTTTACATGTTGGATAAGAAAAACCTCTTTCTAAAAAAGTGTTCAAATACAAATATATGATAAAAACAGCTAATCTAGAGCTTTAGGCAACAAATGATTACACTGAGAATGAAAATTTAAATCATTAGCTTTTATTATTATTATTTAATTTATCTTTATTGTTGAAAGTATTACAGATGTCCCTTCCCCCCCCCATTGACCCCC